ATTTGGGAGTTTAAAGATAAAAATAATAGGGTTTAGACAAACAGTGGCTTAGATGTTTTTCATAGTGGAACAGTTTGGTTTTTCCTAATGTATATGAGCCTTCCTGAAAAACAAATGACAGTGATGTTCTTAAAACATGTAGGACTTAACACTCAGTATCATATTTGTTGACTCTTCAATGTTTTGCCTCAGATTGAATTTAACATGAAAGAAAATAGTTGTGCCATAGAACACTATCACAAAATTGCAGTTGCTGCTCTTCAGAATCCTCACCTCAGCTTGCAGGCAGCTGTAAAGCACAGTCAGGCTCACCTGGATGCTCTGGTCTCCCAAGAAAGCTTCCTTATTGCTTTTTTTCTGATCTTTCAGCTAATACATTTTCCTGAACTCCAAATGAGCAGAATCAGATGAATCGCTTTGCTGGGTGGTGACTACAGCTCGATATCCCTCCCAGTTTAGGTTTGCTCTTTGGCCCCAACTCTCAGAATTTCATAAAGGAGTAATGGATATATAAAAACATATTTCACAGTGAAACTTGGCAAAGTGACAGCCAAGAAATTATTTTCCCTAGTAATTTTAACACAGTGAGTGTTAAGATATTCTAAGAATATGAAGAGGATGGGGGAATAACAGCATTTAAAAAAGCTTGATGTCTCATGTTGATGTTCATGGGGAGATGACATTTGTCTTTTGTTCATAAAAAGATCTGAGATCTAATAATTTCAAAATATTAATGGCATACTACATAAGCAGAAAATGAATATATTGACTAAAGCTGGGACTGATCTTTTCCAGTAGGTTCCTAACATGTCTAGTAAAAAGAAGAAATCCAATTGAAAGAATTTATGCAGTTGACAGGCCAGAAGAGCTCTGGTGGAGATGCTCTTGTCAGTGAAGTAAGTAAAATGCATTTGTAAAACTTTCTAAGTACAAACTTACACAATGAAGTCTTCTGATTCTTACAGTAAGCACACAGGTTTGGGGCTTGTTTTGGGTATTTTTTGTTTATTTTTCGGGGGAGGAGGTTGTTTGGATTTGTTCAGGGTATTTTTATTTCTTTATTTCTTCTTTTAAGTACTGAGTTTCTGTCAGAAGCTAGCAAGATTTCACCCAGGAAATTCAAAGCTATCTTTGACCATGAGTTGTCAGCTCATTGTCATGGTTTGTCCTTCTATTTAGAAAAGGAAAATCCATGTCAGGCAGAGGTGGAGGAATTGTTTGGTGTGGAGGAAGCCCAGTCCTCCAACAGGCATCCTCCTTGGAGATCTGTCCCCTAAAATAAGACAAAACTACTTAGTCACGGCAAGACTAAACTGTGGACCCATTCCTGCTTCGGGACCCCGTGTTATCTCCCACTAAACTATTGGTCATTTTATCCCAGTCTTAAACCATGGATCCTTTTCCCAATTCTCCCCTTCTCTATAAAAACCCTGGCTTTTGCCCAGTTCAGTAGAAGGTCATCACTGGCCCCCTTCACTGAAGCCTGCCAATAATGGAGTCCACAGAACGCTACACAGCCTCCTATCTCTCATCTACATGTTAGCTGGGGTAACTCATGAGCGGAGCTGGGCTGATCACGGAGCAAAAATCATTTCTGAAAGAGCTGATCACTTGAAGCCTCTGAGAGTGCTCATAAGGGTTACCCCTGGCTGGAAGCTGCCTGAGACTCCCTGGGCGGCCGTTCCTCTTGGGACCCTTATCTGGGATGGTGGCAGTGCGGGGGTCGAACAGACCCCCAGTATCAGCCATTAACAATTTGGAAGGACCAATTTTTGGTTGTACCGTCAGGTCATTTGAAAGATGTTTTCAATATTAATTTGGTGGCAGAGGCAAATAGACCAATTATATTTTCTAGTTTTCCTTGGGAGGAGAGAAGCCCATAGTGCTCTTGCACCCAGTTAAGTTCTTTACTTTAGATTATGTGTATGTCCAGGGAAAATGAGGTGAAAGACACCAAAGAAGAGATGGCAGCTGAGAAGTAGCTGTTGGTTTGGAAAATCATCAGGTGGGAGCCAGTGTGGCCTGGGCTGGTGGTGGGGCAATACAGGGAAGAGGCACGTGCTATGGGAGGTTCATATATATGTAATATATATATGTTTATATCTTCAGAGGACTAAAGTTCTCACTACTGCTAGGGAATGTACAGAATACTTTCTTTCTCTGCTGTGAAAATACTCCTATTTCATGCTTTTTCTAAGATAAAAATCAATATCTGTGCGACAAAGAAGTTTGAGATATTTTTAACTTGTGGTAAAAAAAAACAAACTAGTGCCATTTTTTGTTTTCTGTCTGTGCCTGTAAAATTAGAAGAAACCTATTGATCCACACAGCAGTGATGCACAGAGCATTTGTATTCTGAGGAATGTAAAACAAAGTCACATATTCAAAGGAAAACCTATTTAATGAATCCACTTACATTAATTTGCCACCAATAGAGATTCTTCATAACAAAATGGATCATTGCTCACATGAAGACGATGACTAAACCCAGCAAGATACATGTTCTATACAGTAAGCACCAAAGGAGACAGTGCCGTGCAGGTCTCTATGATTTATGGTGCTCTGTACTATTGTCTCCTAGGCTTATACCTGATAAGAAAGGAAAATTCCAAGAAATGGCAAAGACTTCCTTCTGTTTCAGCTGCCCAGTTTTTTGGTATTGTCTGAAAGATGATTTCTCGGGCAAATGTTACTTAGTTTTCAGTCATATCATTCCTAAAATATGCAAGAAATATTTAGTGAAGACCATCAATGGAAAGAAAAAAGACTACAGAACACACTTGAATATGCAACTAATTATTTTTAACTGCTTTTACAAAAGGACTGTGCTTTTAATAATAGCCTGCTTTTGTAGAGCATCTCTCAGATGCAAACTTCAAAACATGATAGGCAAATTGTGTCAACATGTCTATGGGCTAGGTAAGTACTATTAATCCCTTTTACAGAGAGAGAAAGCTGAACGTCAGAGAGACAAGAATATTGCTTTCCAGCTTTCGTGTTACAAAAGGACTGTCAGAGCAGAGAGTATTGTGTTAAATTCCACCCACTAGGTCCAATTTAGCCTTTTGCCTTTCCATCCGAGGAGTCTGTTACAGCTCCATCTTTTTAAGTCACAGGTTATAAGGCAGGATGGCTTGTTAATTTCTGACACATGCAACATATATCTTAAGTTAACTGAAAGCTTCTAAGTTAAAGGTTTCATAAATATGTCAGAATGGATGTAGTCCCTCTTCAAGTTCCTCAGCTTGAGACTGTATCACCCACCACCATGTTGCTTGTGTTCACACTGTGGATAAACCCTGCAAGAATGTATGGCCCTACTAATGTTTGTAGTGTTTTTTACATATCACAGGCAACCTGGGTATGGATTACTGGGTGCATCTAATCTTACTTCATTCAGTTTCTTGAACAGATACTCAAAAAAAGGCCAAAGACTAACAAGAAAGTTAAGTTCATGGTGAAAAGAGAAACCTAAAAAACACAGCAGTCTGTGAAGGCTAAAAGTCTAAAAGCAATTTTCAGTCCTCAGAATAAATGTTTTTTCTACATGGAAGAGGTATTTTGAGGTAGACTTGCTTAGTGGGATGGAGATATACTTTAATTAACACTTTTTTGATCCTCTCTTGCTGAAAAATAAAAAACACCCTGAAAACCTTAAGCTCCAGTTAGGCTGCACACAGATGGATTTACCTGGGAGTGGGATGTCTGCTGCAAGGGCTATCTACAGCTTCAAGTTGCATTATGTGTAAATCCAGCCAGACTGCAAGAATCTCTATATAGAATTCTATCCCACATGTATGTTGTGTTGCCTCGGAATGAGGTGTAGCGACCCGGTTCGTGGGCGACACGACGGCTAAACTTACAGGCCTGTCAGGCTAATCACACACGAACACCAATGTGATGGACGGTGAAGAGCGTTTATTTCCAGTGTGCAGGGATTTATATGACCGGGATATGATGACGTAATCACCATGACATTATGGGTTATGTAACTTTGGAGAAAGAGCGGCCCTATCTTCCTGTACAACGTGAGATCTTCCGATTGGCGTTCTCTATCTGACCGCATCATCTCCCTCCCTCTCCATGAACAGAACTTTACAACTGAATGACTTATGTAATTAACAACAAACTGTGAACTGGTTAGTAATAAACGTGAAACGAAACCGTGGTGTGTTAGTACGAACTATCATGCAAACTCAGGTTAACTGTCTCTGTTCTAAATATAAAATGTCAATCTTATCTAAACGGGTTTTTATAAACTGGGCTAACTTATTAAGGAGACAAGGACCAAAAACAAGTACGAACACAACAACAATAGCTGGTCCTGCTAACGTGGAAACAAGGGTAATAATCCATGGGGATTGGTTGAACATTGAACTAAACCAGTTTTGCTGAGAGCGTTGCTGGCTACGCTGGTCAAGTCTTTGTTGTAGCTCTGCCATGGACTGCTTGATTGGCCCTGAATAATTGGCATAGAAGCAACACTTCTCGTCCAAGGCAGCACACAGACCTCCTTGGTGCATGAGTAAGATGTCCAGTCCTCGTTTCTTCTGCAGCACGACCTCTGCAAGGGAGTTGAGGGATCGCTCCAAGTTGGAGATGGATTCTTGGATTCTGTGCAGGTCTTCATCTACTGTTGTCTGCAGTTGGGCTAGACCTTGGTTTTGAGTCACCAGGGCTGTGACACCTGTCACTGCGCCTGTTGCTCCTAGACCTAAAAGTACTGCAAGGCTGACAGCGGTAATGAGTTCTCATTTTTGGCGTGGGAAACCTCTCTCCTGGTGGTAAGGTAATTCGTCTCCAGGGAAGTAAAGGATCCTAGGGATAATAACCACTTGGACACAGAAATCGTTAGTTTCATCAAAGTGTTTGATGGAAATACATGGGGTGATACCTGTAGAGCTACAGGCCCAAATTCCCGAGGTTGCTGGAATTACCCAGGACTTGGTCTTATCTAGAGTCACAGGAGCGCCACAAATCTCTTCATGGCGTTGTATTGCCTATCTGTTGCCTATGCAAACGCCTTTGCCCGAAACTTGCTCTAGTGTGATTCCTTTGCGAGGGGTGTTCCACAAGCATCGCTTGGGGTCATTTGCTCTGGAGTAGCTGAACATGGCATTAAGGGCTACCCCTTCGTAAAAGGGCAGGTAGGCATCATAGCAAAGCCAACAAGAACAGGTAAGGTCTGGCTTTGTTGCATTTAGTGATAGAAATGTGGCATTTAGCATGCGATGAAAGAGGGCATGAGACATCAGTTTGAGCGCGCCATTAAGTGCTGATGTGGCACTAGTGAGGCTAGGCGTGGGATTGCTGTTTATGTGATTGTATTGTTGGGCTACAACTCTGTTGGGTCCGAGAGTGGTGTGGTGCGGTGGTGAAGCTCTGATAATTTGAACGATCTTGTTCGGATCTGTATCCCAACTATGAAGGAATACTGACCACTTTCGTCCTAACGCCCAGTTGATGTCTTGAGGTTGCAGGACTGTTACATTTAGGTGGGAACAGCTTCCTTTAGCAGTGATCATACCGCTCTTTCCAAACATGGGCCGCTTGCAGCCTTTGGGCCAAAAACCCACGTCTAGGAAACTATCTCTCCTAGCTGGTGTCCACTGGTTACTGGTGACGATGGTTTCACAACCCCAATACCCACAAAACCCATATCCAGGATAGGTGCAATAGCTTTTACCGGGGTTGACACTAGGACACCAGTATGTTCCCCAATTAATGTAGGCAAAAGATTTTCCCTGACTAGGGTCAATTCCTATTCCATCGGTGTTAAATATATCACTAATGTGAACAATGAAGCTAGGGGCATTAGACACAGTTTGGGCAATTACTCTGCCGTCCAAGGGATTGCGAAGTGTCCAGGTGCACGGCTGGTAAGGACGCACATCCAGTTCTCCCTGTCCAATGTGAGGCAGGCTTAGAAACAGGAAAACACAAAGGCACAGATGCTGTTGTGAAACTGCCGATGTCCATGTCAAGGATGAGAAGCGAGGTCGACGTGGAGGATTATAGTGGCAGACCTGTCAAAATAAACTCTGAGGTTCCATTAGTTAAGTTATACAGCACAGGCTTTATTGATTTTAATGGACACCACTTAATAATGTTATCTTTCTCCACTGCGGCATACCCTCGACCTGTCAGGACCAATTTCCACCCTGATTCCCAATCTCCCAATTCATTTCTAATTTTAACTGGTGGGCCTTCTTTCAGTGCTTCGGTGGCCCAATGCTTTTGGGAAGGGGATTGTGCTTGATCTCCCCTGGGGAACTGGTTCAACTCTAGCATGGTGGTGGCTAGCAAGCGTGGTTGTTCTGGCGGAGGGATGTTATTGGTAAACCCTTCTGCTTTGGCTAAGGTTTCTAACTTAGATTTCAAAGTTTGGTTTGCTCTTTCCACGATGGCTTGACCCGTGCTGTTGTACAGAATGCCCTGTTTTAGGGTGATGTTCCACTTAGTTGCGAACTCTTGAGTTGACCTGGCAATAAAGTTTGTGCCATTGTCTGTTTTGATTTGTTTTGGAATGCCAAGCCATGCCATAGCCGTTAGCCAATGCTGAATCGTTGCCTTGGAACTTGTCTTTGCATGTTGAGTTGCAACGATCATGCCGCTGTATGTGTCTACTGTTACAGCGAGCCAAGCTCGAGGCTTCAATATTTGGCAGAGGGTAAAATCTGTTTGCCAGATCTCGGAGGCCTTGAGGCCTCTGGGATTGATCCCACTAGACCACAAGGGTGCTTTCTGACAATGAGGACAAGTAGCCACTATGTGCCTGGCGTCTGCTATTGAGATGTTGCATTTCTTGACCAGTGCCTTGGCTCCAACATGGAGTGACTCATATAGTTGTCGCGCATCTTGTAAAGTCCAAAGCCCTTTCGCTGCAGCATCAGCCTTGTCATTGCCGATTTGAAAAAATCCCCTAACGGGGTTATGGCTGTTGACATGTATCATAGATATGGTGCCTTGGCGTGAGAAAAGTGCTTCTTCTATCATGGCAGCGGCAGAGGATGCTGAAATGCCTGGTCCAGACATCGCCTGACAGAGCCTGGCGACGAACATGGAGTCTGTTACGATGTTAAGGTGCTCTGATGGGAACAATCCGCATGCCAATACCACAGCAGAGGCTTCCAGGAGTTGGACAGACAGCGACTTGTCTCTCATTTTTATGCATTGCCATCGTTCTTGTGTCTGCCATACCACTGCTGCAGTAGAGGTGGCTGACACAAGATTGTCCACATGGTCTGACGTCGGCGCTGCAACAAGGATGTCATCCATATATTGGATGATAGTGGCTTCTGGGTTCACGGACCGAATGGGCTCTAAGGCTTGGCTCACAATGATCTGGCATATGGTTGGAGAGTTGATCATTCCCTGAGGAAGGACCGTCCAGTGGAAGCACAGACTGGGCTGTTGACCATTAGGGAACACGACAGAAAAGGCAAATTGTTCTTTGTCCTAGTCATGCAAGGGAATGGAAAAGAAGCAGTCTTTGATATCCTTGGGGTTAACAGGGGAATAGGTCTTTTGACCATTCACTTATCTCACTGCAAATGCTAGCACTGTGGGAGAAGCCCATTCAGCACATGCCATTTGGATCTCCTTCCAGTCTGTGAGTGGCATGGATTCTCGTGGGAATGATGTCACAGATGTTTTAGGCTTAATGAAGTTTATTTGCATGTTTTCAAAGTCCGAGTCTGAGTCAGAGCTCGAGCCGGATGCATGTCTAAATGCGCGCCGCTTTGTCTCCCGTGCGTGCTGTTGGTGGCCCCAGTCCCTTTCCGAATCCGTGGAGGAAGCCGAGTGGTAGTGGGCTTCCGGGCTGCGGTGCTTTTTGGTGGGACTCCGTCCTCTCCCTTTCCCAGGGACGGGTTTTTCCCCTCCCTTTCTCCGCCTTCCTTCCAGCGGGTTCTTCTCCTTACAAGGAGATACTCTAGGGCACGATCCCTGATTGGACTGTGAGCTCTCCTCCCCTTCACCCTCGGCGCTGTCCTCCCGCTTCCTGTTAGGCTCCCGATCGCGTATGTCTGTGCGCGTTAGGCACCCTTTGCTCCGCCCCTTGCTGCTCACCCTGGCGCCATTTCATGGCGTCTATGGCGGAGGCCTTTCCCCGACATCTCCAGGGTCCGTGGTGTCGGGTGCGCCCTGTGGCTCCGCGGCATCGGTATGCCCCGGCGGCAAAGTGTGTTCCGCGGCCAAACCCGTGTTAGAGCCGGGCAGGCGGGACGGCGACTTGGGTCGCCCGTCATCATTAGATGGCCAGTTAGAATCGGTGGGGCAGTCAGTGAACGTGGTCTGAGTGGCAGCTCCTACCCCCACCCGTGGTGTAACCTTTAAACAGCTTTGAGCTGCCTTCCAAGTTTCTTGTTCCTGAGGCGCTTTCCGTAGTGCTTGCGTAACTCTCGCCCAGCTTTTAAGGTACTTGCTGGACTTAAAGCACAACATGTCATTCGTGAGTGCCTCAGTACACCTAACCCAGCAATCTGGGTGTAATATATCTACAGGATCATCGATAACGCATAATTCTAACAATCTGACAACAATGCATTCAAAATTCCTTGATTTTTTGCAGTCTATACCCCTCTGCTTATGCAGCTGAGAATCTACCTTCCCGAGCGACTGCATCTTGGCGGTACAGGAGCGTCCTCCCCGCTGGAGTCGGTCCTGCCGCTCCAGCCGTCCCTCAGCATCTGGTGAGACTCCCGAACTCCGTCCGCTCGTACCTGTGTATCGGGGAGCGGTCCCGGGTTTCGGCACCACTTTGTTGCCTCGGAATGAGGTGTAGCGACCCGGTTCGTGGGCGACACGACGGCTAAACTTACAGGCCTGTCGGGCTAATCACACACACGAACACCAGTGTGGTGAAGAGCGTTTATTTCCAGTGTGCAGGGATTTATATGACTGGGATATGATGACGTAATCACCGTGACATTATGGGTTATGGAACTTTGGAGAAAGAGGGGCCCTATCTTCCTGTACAACGTGAGATCTTCCGATCGGCGTTCCCTATCTGACCGCATCAATGTTGAGAGCTCTGCTAATGCCTATCAGGATAAAGCCAGCCTGTTTTTCACAGTATTTATGAGAGTTTCCATGTGGCCTCAAAACTACCACTCTCCAGTGGCAGCAGCCACTGATAAGAGGAGCCTGGACACTGCCCTGGCATGGAGAGGGTTGAGCCTTTCTGTTTGGCAGAAGCACCTCTGAAACGAGAGCTGATGGAGGTGCTGCCAGTGCACTGGCAAAAGGCAGGAGCAGGGAGCTGTATGTGTAAGGCACTGGATCATGCTGTTGTTTCCAGCTTGGTGCTGGCTTCAGGGTACTGCCAGGTGCCCTGAAGCAGGCAGAGCTAGTGGAAAACACCTCCGGCCTTTGCAACAAGAGTATTGCCAGAGCAGAAGGCAGTGCTTTCTCAGGCTTGTCTGGAGCCATGGAAAAATCCTATAGGACCTCAGCCCTTTCTTGGGCTAATATACTGCTTGTATGCAAAGGTTTGCCTTTGCCCTGCCCATGCTAATACAAACCACACCACACATCAAGGTTATTCATGTAATAATTGTTCCACATACAGCCAGCCCAGGGATAAGGTGCTTACCATGCTGTGGGATGCTACCCAATGCTGTGCATGGCATGGGTAAGCCTGTAAGGATATAAGGAGGGTGGTTTAGACCTAACAAATGACATATCGTTGAAAGCACAGGGTAAGTTGCGTGACAAGGAAAGGGGCTGGAAATATCACTCCTTCTTTCAGCAGCCTTTAAGACCCAGACTTAGGGCTGGCAGAAAAGGGAAAAATCACAGCAGGTTTTATAAAGAGTTTATGCTTCAGAGTTGAAAGCTTTTTAAAAAGCCAAGGAGTGCAGGTGACAACAGTACAGTTTTCTGAAGGAATCTGATTTTGGAAATAGGCCTGTTGAGAATATTTGAAAATCCCATTGGCCATCTTTTCGGTGTACTTTTGTACTTTGACACCCACAATCTCTCACTGAGAAGTTTTGTGAAGTTTGCACAGCCCAGAGGAGCTGCATGCAGAGGAGAATGCAGAGTTGGCTACAGGAGAGCTCAGACTGGGGTATATTCTTCCTCTTGCTGATGAGGTGGTTGGTGGGACCTTCTAATCCTGGCCCATGAGGATGTGTGAACTTCAGCATGCCCCATCTGAAAGAAAAAGTGGGATGAAAAGCATCCATGAAAAACTCAACATTGGTAAAGATATGGAGGGTTGTAAAAACATTGCCTGGTATGGGGATAGACAAAGGTAAAAAGAGCTGTCCTGTATATTTTGTATATCCAAAATTTTTGAGGTAAAACTGAAAAATAAGCAGAAAAAGTGGAAATAGTACCAAGAGTTGCCAAGAGAAAGAAACAAGATATCTGTTCATGTATTCTGTGGACTGGTCTCCCTGCTTTCACACTGATACCATAGCCCATGTGCAGCTGTGGGAAAGAAAGAGTTGAAAAGGATGAGAATGTCTTTAAACACCTTCAGGAATTCTGCTGCAGTGAGGGGTAAAATGAAGGAAAAAGAAAATACTTCCTTCTTTTCCTGATCCGTTTTTTTTAATTCCTTATTTAACACACACAAATGAAAAGTTGGGAATAATTAATCTCTGGAGTCAGGTTTTACTTTCATTATAGTAGATCTTAGTCCATGTATATAATTGGTTATACTAATAATTATCATCTTCCTCCACACTTCACTCTTCATCTGAACAGAAGAATGAGGTGTGGGCAACAGGACATGGTAGCTTTGAGTGTTTCCCAATATTGGATGCCTAAAAAAGGAAGCTCCCACAAGTTAGTGGGAGCAGTTGCGTTGTCTTCGGATCTCACTGAAGGAGCTCTTAAGGAGGCAAAGAAAGAACCTTACTTGTTTAGGTCTCTCTTGTCGCCCTGAAAACTTAGCTTCTGAGCTTGCTGACATAGTTTTCTAAGACTTTCCCAGGACAGTAACTATAAACATAGAGATAGGTATACATTCCTTCTGTTACACGTCTTGTGATGGACATCTCTCATGGCCAGTGCAGTGAGAAAGTGTTATCCTAACCATCCAATCCCTGGCCATGGTCAGAAACCTATAAATCCTGGGAGGAAAACTAAACTTTCTCTTCCTTTCACCACACCTCGACCTGTGTCCATGTGATCTATTCATCTTCAGCGGCAACATCTGATGACCCCGACGTGTGTTGCAGGTGACGGTTACAGGGCACTATCTAGCCTGTGGCTATGGCTGTTTTTGGGCTCTCTCCTACGGAGGGCCTGGTTGTAAGGCTGTGGTGTGCTGCTCTTGATCAAAAACGGATTGATGTTTTGAATGCTGACTTGGCAGTTGTATACGCATGGCAAAACTAAAGGGTTTTTCCCTGTGGTTGGGGCGCTTCTTTCGAAGCTGGCTTGGGACGCATTAGGTGATTCTCTGATCGAGGCTCTGGTGGTATATTGGGATCCCAGTCTGGTCCGGCTGCTGGGGATCTGGTGAGGGTGTGACAGCGTTCTGAGGAGCTGCGTCCTCTTATGCCAGATCGAGAGCTGCTTCCTCTGCCCTGGGTGAGAGGTCTGGCTCTGGCTCCAGCTGTGGGAGCGGGGCAGGGCTCTCCCTCTCCCCTGGTGGCATGGAGCTGGAGGGCAGCTGTGTCTTGGGTCCCAAGGTTGGCTTCCCTGGGATCGCTGGGGCCTCCAGCGGGTTGAATGGGGTCACCGCGGGACTGATGGGCCTAGCCCCACCTCGGCCAATGTCCTGGAGGCATAGGGCTGAGGCGGGGTTGGATCCTTGCCTGTGAGCCACAGGGGGCGCCGTGGAACCGGGGGGCGTAATGCCACCTCGGCCAGCGCCCCGGCGGTGGAAGCCCGGGGCAGGGTCGCCTCCTTCGTGTGCCCTCCTGGCGCAGACCGATGAGGGGCTGCCTGAATGGGGGGCCGCGCCGGCCCTGGGGGATGCCTCAGGGACGGTCCCATGTCCCTGCTGCGGCTGGGCTGTGCCCTGCCCCGCAGTGGGGGATGGGACAGGCCCAGGCCTCCGCACCGGCGGCCGTGCACATGCACGCTTTTCCAGTGGAGGAGCGGCCAGCGCCGCTTTTTGGACCTTTCATCCCTGAAGAAACACTGTTAGGGGCGATTCTGAGAGCTGATCCCCCTGCGCCGGATTCGTGGGGCATGGGGGCGGGTGCTGTGAGTGGTGCGGATGCCGGGCCGGGTTCTGCCGACCCCATGCTGCGGTTTTCCCCTCCTGCGAGCCTGGGTTGTCCCCTGGCAGCGGAGCGGGATGGTACCGTGGTTTGGCGGGCTGTGCCTGTACCGGCGTCTCGGTCCCCCCCAGCACTGGAGGTGAGCTGTGCCGAGCTGGCTCCAACCCCCCCCGCCTCGGGTTCCCA